TGAAATACTGAGATTTCAGTAGTTGTCATATTCACTGACACATTTCAGTAGTTTAGAACCTAAGTATGACTTGAAAGAACCTATCTTAGTAGTAATATTTGAATGTAACTTCCATGAAGAGGATCTTGGGAGCGAGACATTCTATGTTTTACATGAGTAGTTTGTAAACATAAATTATTAGTTCCAAAGAAATAGATGTTGATGGAAGATGGACTCAAGCCATTTTTGTTGAGGGACAGTTTTTTTTTTTTTAAATCGTGACTGCACATTAGAGTCATCTGGGGAGCTATTGAGACATTCTATGCCAAGTTCCTATCCAGACAAATTAATCAGAAATAGCTAGGCATAGTTATTTTTAAAAACCTACACAGATGATTTTAATATGCAGCCAATGCTAAGAAACACTGACCTAGGCACTGTTTTTGATTTCTAAAAGCTATTCTTTCACCTGCATGGCCTAGATGATTCATGTGAAGAAGGAGCAAGCCATTAAGTGCTTTATTCCCCAGTTAAATTGCTAAGAATGAAAGCTTCTCTACAAGTTTTGAACAAAGCAGTTTTGAAAAGGCTGCTGTTTTTGGCAAGTCAGTTTCAGATTATGAGGAAATACTTCCAAATAATTGTCACGAAATCCTAAATTTCTGAATAGATCACAATATCATTCATGCACAGTTAGTGGGGCCAGAGTGTTTTGAACCAAAAATGTAATTTTTTCAGGCATTTTTTGGGTCACTGCTGTTATGACCATAAATACTCTTCATTCAAGATACCTGCAGATTGACATTTATGAAGAAGAAAGAACTAAAGGCTTGAGAGGGTGGGAAGTGGGTCCTAAACCAGAATACAGAATCAAGCTTCACTGCCTTCAGTAATGCCTTGTCAGGGTGACAGGATGCTCAATTGATAACGCTGTTCCATTTAGCACCAGGGAACAAGCTTGTGAACATACCAATAAAAGCCAAACCTGTTTTTCAGTGCTGATTTTGAAATAAAAATGCACCCACATCTGTTCTTTTTATTCTTAAATGCTTTGTTCATTCCTTTTCAGACCAGAAAGTTTCTGCCATTTTTGAAATCCCTGCTGCGTTTTCTTTTAGACTGATTTTCCAGCCAGGTTCATCATATTTGAAAAAGGAAAGAAACAATGAGACAAAGTAATTTACACAAGGGTCATTCTAGGAGGTAGCTGATACCCAAAGTTGAATCTGATTCTTACTGGTTCTATTTGTGTGCAGACTAGCATTTATCCCTAAATTATACACTATATTTTTAGAATTAATAAAGGCTATAAATAAAGCCTTTGGACTAAGGAGTAAAAAGACACATCTGTTGGAAAGTGCATTTTTTTGGTGACTCAAGTGATAGAGCTCCAGCCTTGAGGGGAAAAGCCAAGTGCAAGTACAAGGACCTAAGTTCAAGCCCCAAGGCTGGCACACATGCACGCGCATACACACACACACACACACACACACACACACACACACACACACACACACACACACACACACAGAGGCCAGAAATGGAAACCTATTTTTGGGATGAGGGTAATGGTAGGCACATGAATTGAAGTAGAGTGTGCAAATGCAATAACTATAATTCAATGTACATTATATAAAAATTAAATTATGTAATGAGGGTAGGGATTGGAGGGGGAAAATGATGGATGGGATAACATTGATCAAAATGTATTGTACTCATATCCTGACTTAGGGAATTATAACCTCTTTGTACAACTACTTAATAAAGTTAAAAAAGAAAACAAACATGTTTAAAGAAAGGCTTCTAATGGGGGCTTGCCAAGGAATAGCCAATGTTTAGCAAGCTCTAGAAAGTTAAAGTAAATTCAAGGTGAGTGAGGAGAATAAAAGTAGTGATATTTTGTCTATATTTTAGATTCTGTATCAGAAAATGTGTCTCATGATTCTGTAATCCACATTGCCTGTAAGAGTTACCAATATACAAATAGTACTTAATAAATCTGCTCTTTTTTCTCTGAGTTGTAGGTAGTTCTTTCCTAAGAATTCAGCATCAAATAGCATCTCACATTTTTTCTGGTGTTGGTTTCTAACATGTAAATTGTAAGCCATTCTTTATGAGCCACTATTGGTTTGAGATAGGAAAGGAAATGAGAACTTTCTGAAGACTGTTAGAAAGATGATAGAAGGGTAATATTATGCTGAAGAAACATTACCTACCCCTGAAACAATTTCTACTTTTTTATGTCTTTTATTGTAAAACTACTGTACAGAGGGGTTACAGTTACATGAGTAAGGTAATGAGTACATTTCCTATTGAGGAAACAATTTCTACTTTTTAAATTAAATAAAAATTATTATTTGTGTGTGTGTGTGTGTGTGTGTGTGTGTGTGTGTGTGTGTGTGTGTACTGGGGCTTGAACTCAGGATCTTGAACTCTTGCTCAGTTTTTCTTACTCATAGCTGGCATTCTACCACATGAGCCGCGCCGCCAGTCCACTTTTTTTTTTTCAGTTGTAGGGCTTGAACTGTGGTCCTGGACTCTGTCCTTGAGCATTTCAGCTCAAGGCTAGCACTCTACCACTTGAGCTACAGCACCACTTCCGGTTTTTTGGTGGTTTATTGGAGATAAGAGTCTCATGGACTTTGCTGCCCAGACTGGCTTTGAATTGGGATCCTCAGATCTCAGCCTCCTGAGTAGCTAGGATTTCAGGTGTGAGCCACCAGCGCCTGGCTGCCAATCCACTTTTTTTTTTTTTTTGGTCCGGTCGTGGGGCCTGAACTCTGGGCCTGGGCGCTGTCCCTCAGCTCTTCAGCTCAAGGCTAGCACTCTACCACTTGAGCCATAGCACCACTTCTGGCTTTTTCTGCCTATATGGTGTTGAGGAATCGAACCCAGGGCCTCATGCATGCAAGGCAAGCACTCTACACTAAGCCACCTTCCCAGCCCCCAATCCACTTTTTAAGAAGTATTTTTCATCTGGTTAAGTCATTTTGGTTTTCCTTTCTTTTTTTTTTTACTTGGTCAGTCATGGGGCTTGAACTTGGCCTGAGTGCTGTCCCTCAGCTCTTCAGCTCAAAGGCTGAAACAAGAGGGGTGCTGTGGCTCAAAGCAGTAGAGTGCTAGTCCTGAGCAAAAAAGGTCAAAGACAGTGCCCAGACCTTGAGTTCAAGCCCCATGACCAATTAACTAAGTAGCTAGCTAAGTAAATCAATGGTCTTGGTTCAGCCTAAGCAACAAGTAAGCTGGAAGTGATGGAAATGGAGGTGTGTGTGTGTGTGGGGGGGGGGGGACATGGCAGGATAATAAAAAATTCAAGGCCTGTTTGGGCTTCATAGCAAGTTTGAGGTTACATAGAGAAACACGGTTTCAACAAAAGGTGCAAAGTATTTGAATATGAGATGCATAGCACCAGGCTAGTTGTGTAGGAAATAAAAAGCCACATGGTGATTCTGACTTCCCTTATGAAGATTTAGTATGACTGATGTTAGAGAAAATTGTCTATATTTAACTGCTGTGAAAAGACATGAAAGATTTTAGTGAAAATAGGAGTTGGATTGAAAATAAAAACAATACTAAAACATGGACTTGAATGGTTGGAGGGCAAAGGGTGACATTTAAAAATGAACGATGTCAAAGAATAGGTGTAATGAGATGAGGATGAACTCACTTTAAGGATTTTAAGAAAGGTGCATTTAGAACCAAGCTCCAAACTCAGATGAGTATGAAAAACTAGTAGAGAATTTATTGTTGTTGCTTTTGGTCAGTTGTGGGGCTTGAGCTCTAGGCCTGGGCACGGTCCTTGAGCTCTTTAGCTCAAGGCTAGTGCTCTACCACTTGGGCCACAGTGCCACTTTTGGTTTTTTCTGTTTATGTGGTACTGAGGAATCAAACCCAGGGCTTCATGCATGGGAGGCAAGCACACTACCGCTGAGCCACCTTCCCAACCCCTAGAAGAGAATTTATTAAAGAACATTGATCTGATGGTTGTATAGTGACTTAGAATATAATACATGAGAAAAGATTAGGAGATGAAGAACTTAATAACAGCATTATTGCCATAGACTTATATCCTCTATTAATAACAGAAGCAAATAAGCCCTCTAGTCTTTTAGTCAGCAAATGAGAATGTGAACACAAGGGCAAATAAGAAACAAGCTGATGGTTGTCATAGGAAAATATTCTTTATTTAAATAAAATATATTAAGATGTCAGTGACAGAAGTGTCAAGTTTGATAATTAAGACGTCCATAAAGTTTAATAGTGACTTAAAAACAAATTCCTATTGGCTCTTTGATCCATAACTTCTCCATCAGTTTTTCTTATCTGTGAGGAGAAGAGATTGGAAATAATGTCATTTTGAGTGCTTTTTGTTTCTGTTTTTTTTTTTTTTTTGGGCATGGGGCTTAAACTCTGGGCCTGGGCTCTGTCCCTCAGCTCTTCAGCTCAAGGCTAGCACTCTACCATTTGAGCCACAGCGCCACTTCTGACATTTTCTGATTATGTGGTGCTGAGGAATCGAACCCAGGGACTCATACATACAAGGCAAACACTCTACCACTGAGCCACCTTCCCAGCCCCAATGTAATTTTTTTTTTTTTTTTGTCAGTCATGGGGCTTGAACTCTGGGCCTGGGCACTGTCCCTCAGCTCTTCAGCTCAAAGCTAGCACTCTACCACTTGAGCCACAGCACTGCTTCCAGTTTTCTGAGTGGTTTATTGGAAATAAGAGTCTCACGAACTTTCCTGCCCAGTCTGGCCTTGAACCATGATCCTTAATTTTACCCTCCTGAGTAGCTAGGATTATAGGCGTGAGCCACTAGCTTCCAGGCCCAATATCATTTTGATACTAAGCTTGGGGTGTGTTAGTAGCATCTCAAATAGAGCCCTAGTCAAATTTTTCTCCAAAGTCAGATGTAAAAGCCACCAGGACTTTTTCTGTAATTCTATTTTGTATAGAAGACAAATGTCCAAGAATCTTTGAAAGTTTAGAATGCAATATTAGTGATATTATTTTAAATTCTATTAGTTTATTTTACCTTTTCTCCAGGACTTATAGTTGTTAAGTTGCTTATTAGTCATAGCTATTAGGTCTTTTGAGTCACTGTAGGAGGACCAGAGAGAAAAGTTAATTGGAAACTAGGAGTGGAAAATTAGTAATTATTGGTGGGTAGTTAACATAAGTGGTATGTAAAAAGTGATAAGTAATGTTTATGGTCTAATTTTCTTTTTCTTTTTTCTTTTTGTTGGTTGTGGGGCCTGAACTCAAGGCTAGTGCTCTACCACTTAAGCCACAGCGCCACTTCCAGCTTTTTCTGTTTATGTGGTGCTGAGGAATCGAACCCAGGGCCTCATGCCTGCAAGGCAAGCACTCTACCACTGGCCACCTTCCCAGCCCCTATGGTCTAATTTTCTATCTCCCTTTAGGAGTCCAATTATGTATGTGGTGGCCTGTAATCCTAGCTATTCAGGGGGCTGAGATCTAAGGATCAGCCCAGGTAGAAAAATCTGTGAGGCTCCTATCTCTAGTTAATTGCCAAACAAAACAAAACAAACAAAATAACCTGAAGTGGAGCTGTGGGTCAAGTGTTAGAGTGATAGACTTGAGCAGATGAAGTTCAGGAACAGCTTCCATGCCTTGAGTTCAAGCCCCAGGGCTGGTACCCCCCCCCCCCTCCCCAACCCCCATGCTTGCAAATGTACACACACACACACACACACACACACACACACACACACACACACAAGTCCACTTGACCAGATATTCTCTTTAGTATGACAATGAAAATATAGCTTAATTTACCTTTCACAAACCAGCATCTTTGGAGCAAAATCCTTAAGGACAAATGATGGAAAATGATGCATGGTATCTAGGAAGTAGAAAAGAGGAAGAAACACAAGTAGTAAGCAGTTTTATATTGTTACAAAGATGACAAACTGGCTGCAGAAATTTTAGTCTCCTGTCCATGGTGGTTACTGGCTGCTCTGGCAGGGACTACCTACCTATTTCCCTTGCACTTATAAGATCATGTGACCAGGTTTGTCAATGGAATATGAATGAAAAGTATTTTCCTCTGGGCTGGGATAGCTAAAAGGCAATTATACTTTTTCCGCTTGCCTTTTGGAAACAAAAATGTGAAACACTGACAGCCACCAAGATCACTGATAGCTACAAGATGAAAAGAGTCCATGTCTTTAATCACTAACATACAACCAAATTTTAATTTGATAAAATGATATCAACTTGGAGTTTATGTATTAAAAGAGCCGATATTATGATAATATAGTTATTTATTTTCTGGAGGAACTGTAGTTTGAACTCAAGTCCTATACACTTGCTAAGCAAGTGCTTTACCACACACCATACTCCCAGAATAGCCATTTTCTATTAAGATTGTGAGGCAGCCTTTCAGAGAGGAGGAAGATGTATATGAAAAGTAACTGCCTTAACAAATTGTTCTTGTGCTATTCTGAGGCTTGAACTCAGGGCCTCAAGCTTTTGGCTCGAGTTCTTTGCTCAAGGCTAATGATCTACCACTTGAGCCACTCCTGCACTTCTGGCTTTTTGCTGGTTAATTGGAGATTAAGAGTCTCATGGACTTTTCTGCTCCAGCTAGCTTCTAAACTCAAACCTTGGTCCTCAGTTCTCAGCCAGCTGAGAGAAGTAACTTTCTTTAAGGTAAGTGCGCATAGCAGTACATAGATTTGACTGAAAGCCAGTGAGATATTCATTATATAATGCTGCATCTTAGGGACAGGTTATCACTTGAGATAAGCTAAATTCAAATCTTTCATGCAAATTTCAGTTTGTGTCAACAAATTTTTTTGTGGTAGGGAAGTAACGAGACATTGGTTGTTAAGATTATCTTAATTGTTTTTTTTTTTTTTTGGTCCGGTCGTGGAGCCTGAACTCTGGGCCTGGGCGCTGTCCCTCAGCTCTTCAGCTCAAGGCTAGCGCTCTACCACTTGAGCCACAGCGCCACTTCCGGCTTTTTTCTTTTTGCTTATGTGGTGCTGAGGAATCGAACCCAGGGCCTCAGGCATGCAAGGCACACGCTCTACCACTGAGCCATCTTCCCAGCCCTATCTTAATTGTTTTAAAGTTACATTCCTCCCCCCAACCTTTCCAGAGACACAGGTGAAATCCTTAGATGTACTAATTCAGTTTTTTTAATGATGTACTAATTCAGATTTTTATGTGAAGAGCATGAAGACCACACAAGGCTGTTACTTGGTATCTATTAAACGATAAAGGCTTAGGATTCATGTCTTCATTCATTTGTGATTATGTTCACATTTTCACCCTTGCTCACCTACATTCCAGACATCGGGGTCAGGAATTTGATTTGTAGTATTAGGAAGTTCCTCATTTGAATCCAAACTAGAGCAAGTAAACTTTGGAAGAATAAATGGTTCTGAAACAAAATGAAACAAAAAGTGATAGAAGTAATTTTTTGTATTGGGTTGAGATACATAGGAAGCATCCTACATCTCCACTGATGTCATTTACCTGCACCTTAATGCAAAACTTACCATCATCCACAGAAGTTCTGTTGACACAGTTAGCCTCGTGCTCCTTGAGCCTTTTGATTGGGACCACATGACAAGCGTTATATTTGCAGTTAGCCATCTTTTTAGCTATTTTCGGATTTTTCTAGAAGGAAAATGTTCATATTGGATTTTGACTGTATTACACCCACTATTCCAATCTCTGGAAATTATGGAGGTACTATCATGAAGAATTGCTAGGTCTTTTCTATACAAGATCAGAAGGGTGTGTGTGTGTGTGTGTGTGTGTGTGTGTGTGTGTGTGTGTGTGTGTGTGTGTGTGTGTGTGTCTGTGTGTGTGTCTGTGTGTGTGTGTGTCTGTGTGTCTGTGTGTTTGTGTGCTGGTACTAGTGCTTTAACTGAAGCCCTCACACATGCTTGCTTAACTTTTTTTGCTCAAGGCTAGCATGCTACCACTTGAGCCATAGTTCCACTTCTTGTTATTTGCCTGTTAGTTGAAGATAGGAGTTTCTTGGGATTTGTCTACCTGGGTTGGCTTTGAACCTTGATCCTCAGATCTCAGCCTCCTGAGTAGCTAAGATTACAAGTACCCTGGCACCCAGCTGTCTTTTTTCTCTTTCTCTTTGAAAAAAGCTTTAAAATTTTATATCATGAAAAATTTCCCCTTCTAGCGATTTGTAGTTTCTAACAGGAAAACTTACCTTCCTGCATGATGCCAGGTGGTACTGTAACCTGCTGGCTGGCATTCTGTGGTTTGGGTCATAAGGACATATTTCTAAGGTTTCTGGCTCCATTAGTCCTAAATGGCATGAGACACAGGTAAGCAAAGAAAAGATTGATATTTAAGATCAGATTATCTTGATATAAGCCTGTTTTCTATTCTCAAAAGGGAAGTGGTGTGAAAGATACAAGTATGTCAAGTCTTACCTGTAGGAAATTTTATTAAGGCAATAGCCTAGGCAGTTAAACAATAGAGTGAGGAATTACTGATTCCATGCCTTAGGAGACCAAAAAATTAATATTGTATGATATAGTCTTAATTAGTTTTTTAAATAGACTAACTGGTGGCACATGCCTGTAATCCTAGCTATTCATGAGATTGAGATCTGAGGATCATAGTTTGAAGCCAGCCAGGGCAAGAAAGTCTGTAAGACTCTTATCTCCACTTAACTATGAAAAAGCTGGGAGTTTAGCTGTGATTCATGTGATAGAGTGCCTATCTCGAGCAAAAAGACTAAGGGACAGTGCTTAGTCCCTGGGCTCACATCCCAGTACTAGCGTGCACACATACATAAGAATTCTTGAAAATGGAAAAACCTGGATAAGATGTTTAACACTGTAAGCTTGAGTGTCGGAGAAAGCAAATGCAGGGCAGCTGTTCCCTTCATCTTTAAGCATTTCCCTTCTCCATCTTTCTCAAGTTAAGCTCTTAATTGGCAGACAGCTCACAACTTTTGGGAGAATAAGAATACACAGCACAATGTTTAAGTTCAGGCTAGTTTATAATTGTTTTAGAATTTGTTAGTCTGAAATATCTGAAGTTGTAGATACTAACATATGAAGACTCCTAGATGTGAACAATATACCATCTCAAATCTGCTTCATTTTACTGCCATTAGGAGTCTCACTTTCCCCTAGGCTGGCTGTTTCTAGCTATCCTAGCAGACATTCATTTCAAGGACTTCAAGTTTCCAAGCAACAGCTACTGCTGAGATTCCTGCAAAGCAGAGACATACAGTTTTATAGTTGGGGTGGGAGAAGATCAAGCAAAGACTGACATAAGCAAGTGCCCTAGAATAAACCATGTCATTTCTGCTTTGTATCGTGCTCAGGACATGGACACAAGGCACAGAGCTAGGCTGCTAAATGTCAGATTTTCCTGAGGGCATTTTGGTGATTAAATCCCTGGATTTAGATCTAGGTAGCTTTCAAGAACACAAGCCTAGGTGGTTCTTTCACGCTTTCTCTACATATTGTAGTAGAGTCATGAGCAGATATTAACTGAATTGGCTTTCTAGAAATAAAGCCTAAGCATAATCCAATATTGTAGAGTTATCTTTAGATTCTTAAGAGATAATGGAAAAAGTATTTTAATATGAAACTGTAGCCTGCAGACAATTCCAAACCCTTATTTTAGTAAGCCTAGAAAAGTATACATTTTCTTCCTTCCTTTCTTTTTTCATACCATTAGTGAGGCTTGAACTCAGAGCCCTGTGATCTTACTTGACATTTCACTCAACGCTGGAGCTTTATCACTTGAACAACAGCTCCACTTTGGCTTTTTGGTGATTAACTAGAGTTAACAGTCTCCTATTTTTCTGCCCATGCTGGCTTTGAACCTTGATACTCAGCTTCCTGAGTAGCTAGGATTACAAACATCAGCCACTAGTTCCCAGCTTAAAAATGCAAATTTTAACTAGACTGCTAAGACTGGTCTTAGTAAACAGACTGTTTCAGGACAGGCAGTAACAACTAGTGACATTAGATTCCTTAATTATTGATAGTCTAGCCAAGAGTATGATGAAGCCATTTAACACATTTCAGACATGGCAGGAATATTCCAACCTTGATGGTACCTTGATGCTAAACCTAGCCCCAAAGATCTCAAGACCTACCTTATTCTGGAAGCAGTCTCTATCAAGAATCCCAGAGGAAGTATCACTGAAAGAGGAAGACAATCCTGTAAGCCACACAAGGTGAACAGTTGAAATTTGAGAGGAGAGAAAGCATAGTACTTTACAACCAGTGGTGGGCATCAACTTGCTCTTTTAAGCTTTCTCTTCAGTTCCTCTCCTCCCACAATAGGTTCTATGGTTCCTCGGAGGTTTGGAAGGTTTTGATGTCATAGCAAACTTACTTATGCATGAAAATCCCTGGGTAGTGTTAAGGCTGCAGATGCTTTGGTGCCACTCCAGAACAATTCAGTCAGAATCTCAAAAGAATAGATTATGGCTGAATGTAGTTTTAAGAGCACCTCAGGGGATTCTAGTTCATAGCGAGGGTTACTTAAGGGCTTTGTTCTGGGGTAATTAAATACCTTTAGGAAGGCTTCATTAGTTCACAGGAGGAACTGCTAGATAATATTTCCAATAAAGTCCCTCAAGATCACCCCATGCTATGCTTAGTCTCTTCTTTAAACTGGCCTTTCTCTTTGTGCGGTGTCATATTTCACTGTCTGGGATTCTATAACAAGCCCACTAAATATTTCCTTAAATCAAAATTTTAATTTATTGTTGGTATTCCTAATTTAATTCACTAGGCCTGGAGTCAAACGTTTACATATGCCAAATCATTTAATTATTCCCACAGGCGTATGTGATCACCACCATTTTAGAAATTTGGAAACCAACTGAATCATAATGGCTTAAAGTTACAAGGCTAGTACATGTTAGAATAGCATTATTGTTTGAAGTAGCACATGCAAAGCCCTGAAAGTTACCTGGTATGAAGATATAGCTCAGAGGCAGAATGCTTGCTTAGCATGTACAGGCACTGCGTTCAATCCCCAGAAAAGAAAAGTAAATGGTATGTAGTAAATAAGTAACCAATGTATATGTATGAATCAATTTAATATACACAACAGTCCCATAAAACTATCAATGTCATCTACATTTTACAAGCAGGAAACAGTCAGCTGGTAAGAGATCAAACTGGGATATGAACTCAAGCTGTTTGGATCTAGAACTGGACTTGTAGCCACTAAGTCAAACAGCTCAGCCCAGGGCCTGGAGTTGGTAGTTCACACCGGTCATTCTAGCTAGACTGAGGATCTAGTTCAAAGCTACCCAGGGCAGGAAAGTCCATGAGACTTATTTCCAACTAACCACCAAAAGCCAGAACCACTTCTGGCTCAGGTGGTAGAGTGCTAGCCTTGAGCAAAAAAGGGTAAGGGGCAGCACCCAGGCTGAGTTCAAGCCCTAGGACCAGCACATACATACATGCACACACACACAACTCAGCCCATATTCAACTTCATGAAAGCCTGATTCTGACTGATACCCCAGTGTGAGCTTCTACAGTAGAAGTCTTTTCAGGCTCTAGAGCTCTTTGACTTCAGCTACGCAATGAGTATAGTATAGGTTTCTGGAGGCAGAGCCTGATTTAGAAATAAAGCATGTGGTATAGACCAAGTGCCTTAAGAGTTCAACAAAGGCTAGATTTGGGATTGCTGCTTTAGATCCTCAAGATTAAACAGGATTTGAGTTAACAAGAGGAAAACATATATATGTGAAAAGGGAAATGAACGTAGCATAATCCCAGAAGACTGAGAACACAGTCCCCACTAGGTTGGAAGAGTTTATATTAGGGCACAGCAGGATACAAGATTAGTTTGCTATGCAGCATCTTCAACCAAAGTTTTGGGATAAAGATAAGAAAACCAAGTGAGAAAGAGCCAAAAGCATGATACGTACCATGAAAAGCTTAATGCTATTCTGCCTTCTAGATGAGTCCTCTGGATGTTGGCTTGCTATTTATTCTCCCCCATCAAGTTAAAAGCCAATAGAAACCCCATAGATCTCTTTAGAAGAACCTGGGTTTCTTTGATAACAGCAGGTGATTCAAAGCTTCAGGGTTTATTCTAATCCCAGGCCTACAGCTTCTAAAGGATAAAAATCCAGTAGATAGACTGAAAGATAGGTTCTCCTTTCTAAAAATCTTAAGTCTTCCTTAGAGATGTTTGAAAGTTTACATTAAGCATTAGCATTTGTCAGTTTCTCTCCCTCTTCCTTCTTTTCTTCCTTCCTTCCTTCCTTCCTTCTTTCCTTCCTTTCTTTCTTTCTTTCTTTCTTTCTTTCTTTCTTTCTTTCTTTCTTTCTTTCTTTCTTTCTTTCTTTCTTTCTTTCTTTCTTTCTTTCTTTCTTTCTTTCTTTCTTTCTTTCTTTCTTTCTCTCTCTCTCTCTCTCTTTCTAAAATACATTCAATTGGAATATATTATAAACGGGTGGAAATGTAACAATGAAACCTCCCTCTACATAAATAACAAAGTAGTAAAATAATACATTCATTTTAGTGCAAACACATTAAACTCCTTAAATAATGCTGATCACCTCCCTCTCTCCCCATTTCTTTCTCCTCTACATACCAGAGTTTGAACTCAGTGCCTCATAGTTGCTCAGCTGATGTTTATACCACTTAACCCATGCCTCCAATTTTTTTTTGGAGATGGAATGGTGCAGACTTAGCTGGTTTTGAGCTAGATCTCAGCATTCTGAGAAGCTAGGATTATAGGTATATCCTGACTCTGTTTTTCTAACTCACTTGGAATTATTGGCACAATATGAGCTCTCAGGATGTAGAAAATATGATTCAAGTGAGAGAAAACAAATTGGAAAGACAACAGATGCAAAGAGAACTCTGTCTGATTTACTTTGTGCCTTGAAAGAACTTGAAATAAATGAAAAGCTTTCCTGAGTTAGAGGTGAAGACTTGGTTGGAATAACAAAAATATCTTGGGGCTAAAATTTATTCAGTCATCGAAGACTTAGGGATCATTATTAATTAATCTTGATTTTTTTTCGGTTGTGGGGGTCTGAACTCTGGGCCTTGACACTGTCTCTCAGCTCTTCAGTTCATGACCAGCACTCCACCATTTGAGCAACGGCGCCACTTCCGGCTTTTTCTGCTTTTGTGGTGTGGAGGAATCGAACCGAGAGCTTCATGCATGTAAGGCAAGCACGCTACCACTGAGCCACCTTCCCAGCTCTTAATTTGGTTCTTCACAGGGCTCATTTCTCAAACTAGTATCAATAATTTGGTAAATTACTACAACTGGCATATTTATTAAGTTGTTACTGTGTCTAAGAGGTGTTGCTCTAGACCAGTATTTCTCAACATGTGTCCCCTGGCACATTTGCACCCAACACTCCTCCTCTACATATAAATGAAGATTTCTAGGCTATCAACCTAAATTTCAGAGAACAGGTATAAATCTGTTTCTTTAGTGACTTTAAGTATCTTTGTACTAGAGCAGTGGTTCTCAAACTCAAAGGCGTAATCACCTGGAGGGCCTGTTAAGCCTGAGAGTGCTGAATCCAACCTGCAGTTTTGGGTTTAATAGGTCTGGGGTGGGGCCAGAGAATTCATTTGTCAAACAAGTGTCAAGGTAGTGCTGATGCTCTTGGAGAATCACTGTACTAGGAATACTGTAAAGGATATAATATTAAGAAACATTCCCACCTGGGCACTGGTGGCTTACACTTATAATCCTAGCTACTCAGGAAGCTGAGATCTGAGGACTGAGATTTGAAGCCACCCCAAGCTCAGAAGTCCAATTAAACAACAAAAGCTAGAAGTGGAGATGTGACTCAGAACTCCAGCTTTGAGCAAGAGAGCCAAGTAAGACTGAGAGTCCCTGGGTTCAAGTCTCACTAGTTCATGCCCAACTACCAATACCAAGGATCAAAAAAAGAGAATCATTCCTGTCATTAAGGAGTATATATTGTAGTTTGGAGAGAGAAGACATTTACCTAAAAAATAATAAGGAAAGCAAGTGCTGGTGGCTCACACCTATAATCCTAGCTACTCAGGAGGCTGCTGAGATCTGAGAATTGCAATTCTAAGCCAGCCTAGGCAGACAAGTTCATGAGACTCTTACTTCTAATTAACCAGCAAAGAGCTGGAGGTGGCTCAAGTGGAAGAATACCAGCCCTACATGAAAAAGCTGCTGGGGTCGTGTGAATGCATATGCATGAACAATAGTATATAACATAATATTTTTACATTGGGTGGGGTAGTTAGCAAGAGATGTATCCTAAATGACATAGGGCCTAAGGCTCAGTAAGGAGTTATGGAAGCATTCTTGAGGGAGCATATAAAAGAGGGGAAATCTATAAATATTTGTGGGGGCTGGGTTGGCAGATACTTACCTGTCTGCTGTAGAGTTTTGTGTAGGACATTTATGGAGAATTAAAGCCAAAGGTAAGTGCTACAGTGTGAAGAACCCTGAAAGCCTGTCTCTTTCCTCAGGCTCCACTTCACAGGCTTACTGAAAAGTGTTGCATGGCCAGAAAGAGGAAGTCTCCTCTGCTGTGTGTGTTAGAGGAAGCACAAGAAACCATAATGATTGCTTGCACCCATGAACCAATCACAGGGGCCACAGGAAGCCCAGTGCACCAACCAGGCTGGGTCCTTCTGCACAGGGTGTGTCACCACCCAAACTTAGAGTGTGTAGGGAGCTCAAGGCCTTATTGTCCGGATACCCCACTCTTTCCGTGGCCATCATGTCTTTGACCTCTGCCTACCAGCATAAATTAGCGGAGAAGCTCACTATCCTCAATGACCGAGGTCAGGGAGTTCTCATCCGAATATACAACATCAAGAAGGTAAGCACAAGTAATGAAATGGATCTAATTATTTCAGCAAGAGTAAAGCAGGGAACTGTAAAACTGGCAGGTCCAGAAGTTCGACCTAACTGATCTTCAGGTGCCCAGATTATGGAGGCCAGACAGTTTGGGGAGGCAGAAGGGGGCTTCTTTTTAGGCTTTCCCCTTCCTACATGCGATTCTTAGAGTGAGAGCAACTGCTTTCCACTGGAATTGAAGGTAAGGGTGATGGTGGCAGTGGTGGGGAGGGTAATTTTGTTCTGAATGATTTGGACATGGGTCTGGGGCTAGAGTTCTGGGTCTTATCACTTACCCTTTCCTATGCGCCAAGGAAACCTAAAGCTAGGTCTGCAGCAAAAACCTTTTTTTTTGGGGGGGTAGAAGTACTTCCCTTTAAGGAAAGAGAAATAGATTAAAAAAAAGTGGTAAGTGCCTTTTAAAGTACTTTGGGTGCAGTTCATGCTGTATTTGTATGCCTGTGTGTGTAGGATTAGAACTGTGAGTCTGGTAGAAGCTGGTAGCAATGGGTGAGCCAGGGGTTAGCGAAGACATCAAAAGCAGAAATGAAGACAGGGGCACTGTGGAAAGTTACTAGAAGTGAGAATAAGGTTCTTGTGGGAGGAAATGTTTGTGCATTTTGCAATAAAACAAATCACTAGGAACATGTTTTCTTTGTTCCAGTTTCCCCAGTAAATGCACTTTGGGATAAAAATATTCATTTAATAGGCATAACTGTGGGCCCAAGTCTCCCACAATTCTAACTCTACGACAAACCACTTTTCTTATAGCTTCCGTCTTCTCTTGAGAGGCGGGGAAACAACTTCCTCTTTGTGCTGGGACCAAGAAGATGTTAAGTTTCACCCAGTGAGACAAGACACTGGGGTTGTTGCTTAGCTCTTAAGATAGTTGGCTCACTGTTTTGGAACTTGTTCTTGATCTACTCTCATGCTTTTATAATGAATTCCTGCAGGGCTTTCCCCTAAGGATTGAATGATTCAGGTAAAGGTATGTCTCAGGGGGGGACAAAGGGTTGAAATATAATGCGGTTTTTCTGTGCAGACTTGTTCAGATCCTAAATCCAAGCCGCCTTTCCTCCTGGAAAAGTCTATGGAATCATGTCTCAAATATATCAACAAGAAATTTCCTAACATAGATGTCCGAAATAGCACGGTGAGAGCTTGACCCTACTTTTCTTTTCTCTGACAAAATTGTATGCAAAGATGGTTCACATTCTCCTCTTTGGACAGCTTTTCTTCATTCTTTTAGTTTCCTGAGGCATAAACATAAGGCTTCCAGTCATGAGAATTCTGAGATGGGAGCCTCTCAAGCTGGAACATAGCATTGCTCTGTGTCTCTATTGCGAGATTCACAAGGACACTTTACCAGCCTAGCAGAATGTGTATATTTTAATGTTCTTCCTGGTTTCCACTGGGTATTTCCTTGCTTAGAACTATGTATCTAGTGGGCTATTCACTCTTTTGCCCTTATTAATTATTAGCAGTGAACTTCCTATCTGTTTTTACTGTAGCTTCTTCTTATCCTGTTTCTTTTGACTTTGATTTAGATAGTATGTTTCTCCAGCTTTAAAAGGGGTCTTGAAATATCCTCTTATTTAGCTCTCTGAATCTAGTCAGAACTATCTTACCTAGGTAAAGAATCTCTATTTAAAGATGTGGAGAACATTGGAGAGATTTCACCTCCCATGTCAATGTATTTCAAACCTCTAAGGTGTTCAGGTATTAGTCCTTCTATGGAGTTAACTTTGGCCAATTGCCATTTTATTTTTACATGTTTTGTGTTTCAGCAACATTTAGGGCCAGTTCATCGTGAAAAAGCTGAGATAATTAGATTCCTCATCAACTACTATCAGTCATTTGTGGATGTCATGGAATTTCGGGTGAGCTCTTTCTGGTCCAATTCTCTTTTGTAGGCATTGTCATTAATTAGTAGGTGTTCATTTCTGTGGCTTCATAAAGTTTTTTGAAAGAAATGAGATATGTACTAATATAGAAGGATCTCTAAATTGTACTGTTAAAGAAAATAAATGACCAATTATATAGAAACTATCCATCTTTTAAAAAGCCCCATTTTACCCTGTGGAGGAATAGCATTCAGGGATAGTGAATTCAGGGAAAGTATGCATGATATGGAAGTACCTTGTATTTGTGGACACACATCTGAAAGGGGTCATTTAGGGTTTACAGAGAAGGGATTTCTTTTCTTTTTCTTCTCTACTTTTTTACCTGGAAACGCTCTGGGACCTGTCCCTTGTCCTCAAATTTTGATATTATGCGTCATCATTAAAAAAAATCTCTATTCACTCTTATTTTAAATTTCACTTCCAGGATCATGTATATGAACTTCTCAACACCATTGATGCCTGCCAGTGCCATTTTGATATTGTAAGATCCTTTATAGCCTTCTTCTATTATACAATAGGATTAAAGAAAAGACCAGGTGTAAGTTGAGACAGCGTAGAAAGGGATGGGACTAGAAGAATGGCTATTCCATTTATTCCTATTCAGGACCACAATTCTTTTGTAAAAAGTGCTGATGTTAAAATATAATCAGTGTAATTAGCAATGTGATTTAATTAATACAAATATTATACAAAATTTTCTTACTTTATTTCTTCCAACCTTCATGTACTTCCTTATTTCCCAGTCTCCTTGTATCTTGAGCTCTTATTTAGCCCTGGACTTTTGTACTTTGTGTGTGTGTGTGTGTGTGTGTGTGTGTGTGTGTGTGTGGCTTGCACTTAGGGCTCTGTCCCTTAGCTTTTATGCTCAAGGCTGACGCTCTAGCACTTGAGCCACCCTTCCACTTCTGGCTTTTTGCTGGTTAATTGGAGATAAGAATGCCACAGACTATCCTTCCCTGGCTGGCTTTGAACCATGATACTCATATGTCAGTTTCCTGAGTAGCTAGGATTACAGGTGTGAACCACCAGTGCTTGGTCTAGCCCATGACTTTTGTTTTAAATTTCTTCCTCTGAATTTTCAATCCTCCAGGTTTCTACTTGTTGTAGATTCTTTTGGAGTCTATTTAACACTGTTAGAAAATTGCAAAATAGGGAGATCCAAGTTGTTTGGTTATTCTGTCATTGGGATCCTATATATTTTCCTTGCAGAATCTCAACTTTGACTTCACTCGGAGTTACCTAGACTTGATTGTGACTTACACCTCAGTCATTTTACTTCTGTCACGGATTGAGGACCGGCGGATACTCATTGGCCTGTACAACTGTGCCCATGAAATGATGCATGGGCATAGGTAAGTGAAGGGAGATAAAGAGGCTCATTTATGATGATTTGAGATAAGAAGGTAGCTACAAAGGAAATAGATGCTGTGATTTCTCATAAGAAAATCTACATCATGACCCAGGCAAAATAACATATGTTTTTTTATGTGTAGTTAACTCTTGATAATTGATTATCCAGTTAGCATTTTCTCTGATCTATTTTTTTTGGGGAGGTGGGGTTTCTGGTCGTGGGCCTGAACTCTGGGCCTGGGCGCTGTCCCTCAGCTCTTCAGCTCAAGGCTAGTGCTCTACCACTTGAGCCATAGCGCCACTTCTGGCTTTTTTTTCTGCTTATGTGGTGCTGAGGAATAGAGCCCAGGGCCTCATGCATGCAAGGCAAGTGCTTTACCACTGAGCCACCTTCCCAGCCCCTGAGCTATTTTTTTTTTTAACCTGGACTAGCTTCCATGCTGCTTTTTAGGATATTACAAAAGACAAAAAGAGGGCCAGTTGCTGGTGGCTCACACTTGTAATCCTAGCTACTTAAGAGACTGAAATCTGAGGATCGTGGTTCAAAGCCAGCCTGGGCAGCAAAGTCCTCATGAGACTCTTATCTCCAATTAACCACTCAAAACTGGAAGTGGTGTTACAGCTCAAAGTGGTAGAGCACTAACTTTGAGTGAAAGAGCTCAAGGACAGTGTCTAGGCCCTGAGTTCAAGCCCCAAAACTGGCAAAAAAAAAAAAAAAAAGACAAAAAGACAATTCTTATTAGTATTGGTGAACTAATACCAGTAGGATTAAGCCATTAGAAGTAAATAATGTATGATAATACAGTTGAAGCCAAATACAAATGAATTTGTATTATCTACAATTTTCTCCTACCTTCACTAGAATATCAGAATTTTAGGGCTAAAAAATGAAGTCAAGAAGGTTCAGAGTGAGACATGACACATGGTTCTGTGTAAGATGGACATTCAGATGTGTTTATATGGATACCTGCCCATATGCCTGACCCATTATCTATCCATAGTTTCATGTCCCCCACTTGCCTTCGACATTTGTACATAGTGTGATGGTCTTTGGGAATGATGGGGAATGCCAACCTATGCACACATCTTTATCCTATATATAAACATATGCTTTAAGTTTTTAAATTGTTATTATAAAGGTGATGTACAGAGGGGTTACAGTTAAATGTCAGGTAAAAAGTACTTTTCTTTTTGGATAAGGTCACCCCTTCCCTTGCTTTCACCCAGTTTTTCTTTCCTGTTCGTACCCATATGTTGTACAGTTCATTTTCCACATAGTGTCTAGTGAGCATCACTGATGCATTTGTTTACCTTTTGTCCCTCTATTTCTGTGCCCCCTCACTCTTCCAAAGACAGATATATG